CCCACTCGGCTGTCCCGGCCAGCTCGGTCCCCGCCCCGCAAGCCGCAAGCCCCCCGCCGGTGAGCGGCACAGACCAGCCTGTGCAGGGCCGGGGCCTTACCACTTCGGTCTGCCGTCCTTCACCGCTTCCTCCTCCTCCTCGTCGTCGCTGAACTTCAGTTTCTCGGAATAGTCCACTTCCTCATGCAGGCCTAGGACAGAGGCCCGGGGGAAGGTGAGCGGGAGCCGCCGCGGGGCTCACGGCAGCCCGCCGGGCAGGAGCGCACACCGCGGCCGCCCGGGGGAGCTCGGGAGTCGGCAGGACAGTCGCCAGGGTCTCAGCAGGGAGCAAGTGCACAGGGCGCACCCCGGCACCCAGAAACCTCACCACGCTCTGGAAAGCCAGCAGGCGCCTCAGGACGTGCCTGACCCCAAGCGCAGCTATGCAGAGTCACCAACTGTGACAGACCCACAGAACTCAACAGTGTTTGGCCACTGAAAAAACAATGGGGCAGGGCCCACTGGGGGCACTGGCCGCAGCACCGCAGGCCGGCCGCAGCCACTTCCGTGCGAGCTCCATCCCTGCCCAGAGGTGACCACAGGGCGCGGCAGACCTCTCCTGTCTCCCCACTGCTCCCCTCAGCAGTGTGTTTCAGTCAGTCGGCCTGTTCTGCTCCCCACTCTGTGTCTGGGGAAGCCTCTTACTGCTCCTATATCTCTGGCCTGTACCCCAGTTCTATATGCTTAAATAAATTAATAATCTTTAAAAAATAAAAAATGGGGCTCTCCCTGGTGGTGCAACAGGTTAAGCACTGTATTATGAAGCTCTCTGAAGCCACTGCAGCACGAGTTCAATTCCCAGCCAGGGAGTGACCCGCGCGGCGCGGCAGACCTCTCCTGACCCGCCTGCTGCTCCCCTCACAGTGTACTTTGTCACTCTGCCTGTTCTGCTCCCCACTCTGTCTCTGGGGAAACCTCTCACCCACCACACCTCCAGCCTGTACCCCAGTTCTATAAGCATAAATAAATAAAAAAAAAAATGAATGCCAATACCTACTAAAACATAATGCACCTTGAAAGCAGTAGGCTAAGTGTGAGAAGCCAGACATGAAAGGCCACAAATTCTGTCGTGTCATTCCTTCTCTGCAAAGTGTCGAGTAAGCAAGCCAGAGAGGGAAGCAGGTTACTGTGGCCAGGTGTGATGCTAGTGGGTGTGGGATTGCCACAGCAGGCGATGCTGTGGTGATGCCGAACAAATGCATGAATACGATAAAAATCAGTGATTGTGTGCTTTGAAACAATTTTAGGTCACTGAAAATCCGCCATGTGAGTCAAATCTTTTTAAAGGGAAACAACAACAAAATCCCCAACCCAGGTAAGAGGCAGAGCTGGAGGAAAGTGAGCGCGGCCCAGGGTGCCCCGACAGCCCCTCTCCTGCGAGTGCAAGCGAGCCCAAAGGAAAGGCCTTTCAGCTGAGTGTGCAGAATGGTCTGTTAGAGCCGTAACATCAACGCAGGACACAGTGACTCTAGGCCAAGAAGCTTTACTAGCAGCGGAGGACATCTGTGAACAACACAATGGTCCAGAGAGCCCGAGAAAGAAACATGGATGTGCCTGGAAAAGCTTCAGAAGTAAAGCAGGCACCAATAGCATTAAGGAAACAGACAAATCCATGCTGCAGCAGAGCTGACACCTCACTTCCAACACCTGCTAGAAATAGACAAAAACACCAAGAAGTGTGAGGTAGGATCTGAAGACACGGTAAGGAACCTTGACCAAGGACACGCTCACAGAAGTGTCCAACAACAGTAGACAAGTCTCTTCAAACACTTGGAACATTCTCCAGGACAGACCCCAGCCTGTCATGAAACAAGTCTCACTAAGTTGAAGAGAACTGAAATCACGCTAGTAGACTCACTGGTTGTAACTAGAGTCCCATAAACCTCTAGAAAGTCTAAAATCAACATGAACCCATCTGTGAAAAAGAAAACACAATGGAGATAACTAAAGCCAAAGCTGCCTCTTTTTGTAAAGATCAACTAAAAAGCCCTTGACAGAGGTGGCCAAGAAAAAGCATGAAATTAGCAGCAATGAACAAGGGTCTGTCACTACAGATCCTGCAGGAGTCGACAGGGGAAGCAGCAGCACTATCAAGGCCTTTAGTAAGTTCAACGATTCCAGAAAAATTTAACCAATTCCCTAAAAAAAAAAAAGGCTACATAACTAATCAAAACAGCTCCATGTCTAATCAGAGAAGTTAAATTTATTATCAAAAATACTTCCAAGAGAAAACTCCAACGCCAGATTGTCTTACTGGGGAATTTATATGTTTATCGAAGAACTAACAGCAATCTGACAGCAACTCTTTGAGAAAGCAGAGAAAGACAATTTTTCCCCTAATCAGCCGAGCCCACACCATAAAATGCTACCAAAACTCAACACAGTCATCAAAAGAAAGCTACAAGACCAACGTCTATCATGAACAGACACCAAGAATCGCGGTGACGGGTCAGCAAGCTGAATCCAGGTGCGGAAAGGTGGGACGTGCTGGTCTGGCTAACAGCAAACAAACAAACAAAAATAAAACACCGAATCAGTGCGACCCACTTGATTACCAAAATAAGAGAAACACACGATCATCGCCGCGGCAAGACAAGGAACAAGTCCATACCCACCCTGCACTAAAAGAGCCCCGCAAACAGCAACTGTCCTTGCTGAGATAAAGCACGGCCCTGCGTGCCGGCGGCTGTCGCCGTGTTAGCGCGGACACGCACACCCTCCCGAGGGTCGGGCAGGCGAGTCGACACTGCTCTGGACGTGCCACGACACAGGGAGGCCAGGAGTCCCGGCACAGCCTCTGGGAGGCAGGGCTGTCGGTCCTCTTCCGAGGTGGCATGCTGGCTTATGTAGAACACTAAGAAATCCACAAAAATTAGCAGAACTATTGAGTGCACTCAGCAAATCGATATTAAGAGCAGCACACGAAAGTCAACTCTATTTTAATACAGTAAGCAAGTATTTTAAAATGAGATTTTTAAATGCCGTTAGTATTATTACCAAAATACATCAACTTCTTAGGAACAGGTTAACAAGAAATGCTGAAAACCTCAACAGTGGAAACTATGAACAGTGCAGAGAAATAAAAGGCTGAATCAAGAGATCCTCCAGGTTCTCTGATGAGTCAAAACTCAGATGTCATTCATTCAGAAACAAATTCAACATAATCCTAAGCAAAATACCTGATCCCAATTTTTTTTTAAATATTCATTTCATCGATGCACCCAAGAGCTAAGCTGTAGGTCACAGCACACACTCTACTGTTTGACTTTCTCATCAGGGAAAGTAACTTCCAGAAATCAGCAACCTCCTGCAGCCCCCGTGAGGGGTCCCACGCACCCCACCTGGCTCCGCCTGCCCAGCTCGGGAGTGGGCAGACACACGTGGGAGACCCACCTAACCCCCCCCCCCCCCCCGCCCCAGCAAAAGGCAGGGAGTCTCCGGGACAGCACACCCACCTGCCCAGCCATCATCGGCGTCGGTGTCCAGGTCATCGAGGCCCTTCAGGTTTTCCGCGTTGACTATGGTGGGCCGAGGTGCCCGCCCCACCAGCTGCCTCAGTGGCCGGACAGGGCGAGTGGCGCCCAGCCGGCCCTCTTTCCTAAGGACAGAGCGACGCGTCAGTGTCTAGGTGGAAGCTAGAACCAAACACTTCTCCAAGCATGTCCTGCAACTGCAGCTGCGTCTAAGTCACCCCTCTGGAAGGAAACTCGATGGACATGGCCCAGCGATGTTGCGCCTCGTCTGCGGCCTGACGTGCCCAGTGCTAACGGCCACGGTGGCCATCGGCGTCGGCCAGCGCTTCAATCCTGCCAGCACCTTGAAGGCACAAGCCCAGCTCTGGCCCAGCACCCCCCGCCCGGAGGAGCTGCAGCCTGGACGCATGGCCTCAGCACCCACTGGTCGTCTCACCCGGCCTCGCCATCGGGGAAGCGCTCGTGTGGCGTGAGTGCAATCCTCTTACCCATCCTGGTCGTTCATCTGGAACTGTCTGAAAGGAACTCGGGGCTCAAGCCGGAGCGGAGGAAGGGGGAAGGAGCCTCGTTCCGCTGGAACCTGGTTCTCTGGTGACTGTGGCGAACACATCTGAAACATAACAGCAATGAGCAGGACTTTCCAGCAAGGGCCCAACTCCAAATTCTACTTGCAACACTGTTTTGGAACGGGAAAATCAAACAGGCACGTCTTAGGGTCTTCCAGCTAATCCTTCCCTCTCCCCCCACTTCCTTCCTGCCATCAGTAAGTCAAGCTGGGACCTGCGTCTGGGGGCATACCTGCCTCTCCTTTCTCTAAAGAACCAAGGCTACAGTAATATCCACATCACCAGGAAAAGAAGTCAAAAGCACTTGAGATTTGAACAGGGGGGAGAGAAAACAAAAAACTAAGGGAAACCTCCAAAGCAGGTGCAGGGCAAAGTGAAGAACCCAGCGGACACTCAACCACTCAAGGAGGCTCCTGCTGGACCTGAGCAATCCAACTTCACAGGGGAAATGCACTCTGGAGACTTACAAAAGCAGGAAGCATGTCATGGTATGTAGGTGGGTGGTATGCATTCCCCATGAACTGTGACGCCCCTTTTCGGACAGGCTGAGCCGGGCGTAGAGAGGGGTCCTTAGCATCGCTGGTACATGCCGAGGAGGGGGCTCCGTCTCCCGCACTCGAGTTCCTGCTGCCCAGCTCAGTTGGGGAGGCGCTCAGAGACGTGGCAGAAATTATGTTTCGCCCACCGCCCTCCCTCCAGCTTGTCACATCTGGAAATCGAAAGGGGGCAGAAGGGGAAAGAGGAGGAGGAGGGGGTTGTGTGAGGTTCTGAAGGCTAAGGGACCCTCATTCACCGAAAAAATACAAATAAAAAGGCGACAAGAGGCTTGGTCAAACTCTGGTGCAGAAAGTTGGGGGGCGTGTGGCCCACGACTACGGCTTGGGGAGAAGGGGCGGGAGTCTAATCGTCAGAGAACCCCAGTGAGGGCTGCTCAGAGAGGCGAGCACAGACAAAGCGGAGCCTTCTTCCTCGGTCGGCAGAAACCACACATGCCAGGGGCAAACCCGCAGACACCAGCGCGCCCGCCGCCCCTGCAGCCTCCCACCGCACGGGCTCAGCCCGCGCCCACCGCAGACTCGGCGGAGGCCTGGCCCGAGACGAAGGAGGGCTGCTGTCCCTCCCCAGGGCGGCCCCGGGCCTGGGCCCCGGGCCCAGCAGCTGTCCGCTGAGGGCACGCCCGCGCGTCAGGAGGAGACGGGCTGGCCTGTCTCTCTGGTACCAAACGCAGCAGGAGCTGGCGGCGCCCAGGCCAGGGGCAAAGCACGCACGCGGCCGGGGGGAGCGGGGTCGGGACAGAGGCCCGTGCAGGTCTGCTCCCTGCTCTCCAGCCCCGCGGAGGGGGCTGCCCCCTCTGCCTGTGCTTGCAGGTGGGCGGGTGGCACGGAGCCCAGAAGCTCTTCTGGCCCTGCGTTTGTACAGCTACCACATGGCTCGTGCTGGTTAATCCCAGAAAGCCTCAATTCCTGGCCTGACAATCCAATTACTGTCTGGTCGGAGACACCGACCCAGCAAACACGGGCCACTGCAGGGGGCAGAGTGCTGCCCCGTGGGCCCCTCGCTCTCAGGCAGCTGCTCCGCCCCTGGGCCCCAGTCAGGGCAGGGAGCGAAGGCCCTCCTGAGGCTTCGCGGCAGAGTCCCGCCGACACGGGACTCCGCTCAGCACCTCCCGCCGCCGAAGCCTCTGAGCGCAGCCTGTCCCAGCGAGAGCCGCGCCACAGCCTGCTGCCGCTGCAGCCAGACCTGGGGGCCCTGCAAGGGCAGCGCAGGCCTGCTCCCTAACAAGCCCCAGGAAGTGTCAGCAAACAGGTTCTAACTTGGCAGGGGTGGGGGTGCCTAGACATCAGACTTCAACATGCACCCCAGACTCTGACACGCTCGGCTAGGCCTGGTCTAGAGAACAAGCCTCAGGCTAGGCCCAAGTTGGCACGTGGGGCCGTGGAGCACAGCAGCAGGTGCGCCCCGCGCCTGCCGGGCAGGTGGTCTCCTGCGCGGCCCAGGGCGGCCCCAAGCTCTCCGGCGGGAGCCCGCACCCAGCCGTTGCGGCCTGAGCCCTGGGGGGCAGCGGGGAACTTACTCTGCGGGCGGAGGCTTGGTCCGGGCCCATACGACGGATCTAAGGCGCCCTTTTCTCTGCCAGCCTTGTCCTGCCCCCCAGCTGCTCTCAGCGTCGGAAATTCCTCGGGAGAGAAGGATAACAGTCGGCTTGAGCCCCTTAAACCTGTCAGGAAACAAAAGCCAGCATGGAGCAAGCGCACCGCGGCCGGCTCCCGCCGCGTCTGTGCCGGCGCAAGGTGACGGGGCCGCCCGGCGGCAGCCGGCCCAAGGGGACAGAAGGGTGGCCACAGGTACGGGAGCGGCACGGGCCGCACAGGGACGGGGGCGGCACGGGCGGGCGCTGCCCTCTGCTCCCAGAAGCGGCAGGGCAGCCCGGAGCCTGAGCACAGCCCGCTGGGACCTGCGAGCGCAGGGGCAACCGAGGCCGAGGAGATCAGGTCACTGAGTACCCCGTGTCCACCCACCTGCCTGACCACGCCTGCCAAGTCCCTACGTCCTACACGGGACACACGCCAGGAACGGTGGCCAGTGCTGGCCCCACTCCCAGCACCAGGGGCCCCTCACAGCGCTGCCACGGGGACCTGTGGTCGTGGCTTGGCGACAAGGAGCGGAACGAACAGTGTCTTTCCTGGTCCAGCGTAGGACTGGGTGCTAGGAGCTGGTGGACGCGGCCGGTGCCGAAGGAGCCTAAGGGAAGAGGCAATCCACCGCACAGCAGCCGGCACGATGGGCCTGCCCCTGACTGCGCGGCCCGCCCCTCGGCACGCTCCAAGCACCACTGACACGGGCACCTCTTCACTAAAGCTGCGCCAGGGAGAGGCCGTGGGGGTGAGCGCGGGTGTGCGGTCAGCAGGGAGCCTGCGGCTATGCCGGCAACTGGCTCTGGAAGGGCAGCGCTGGCGCGCACCAGCGTCCCACTCTGCAAGGAAGGCGGGGGGCCCGCGGGGCCCCTGTGAACCCCGGGGCCCGGGACAGCCTCAGCGCTATCACCAACGGCCGGACGGCGATCACCGGCCGGGGAGTGACCAGAGGGCACAGCAGGCCTCTCCTGTCTCGTGCTGCCCCTCAACTGTTTCTGCTCCCCCCGTCTCTGGGGAGCCCTCTCACCCCGGTACCTCTGGCCAGTACCCCACTTCTATGCAAAACAAACAGAGAGTGTGACAGGATACTGAGGCAAAATGCACGCAGATAGAGAGAAAAGGCCCGATTCCCTCTGCCTCAAAGTGGCCAAGGTGTGGTGGAGGAAGGGCACAGCCCGGGCTGCAGACCCACGTACCGGCCCCAGCGAGGCGTCCGTGTGCGCCAGCCCCTCGCCAACCTCGGCCGTCAACGACCAAGGCAGAAAACTCAGGACCACGTGCCAAGGCCCAGGCCAGCGCCACTGGCTGCCGGCATCGGCGTCCGGGCCGTGAGCCTCTGGCGCCTGCTGCCCCACCCCAGAGGGCTCCTCAGCACGCTCCAGGTGAAGCGGCAAGCAGGCGCCCAGGAAATGTCCTCTCCAACCCCCAAGAGTCATGAAAACATCCGGGGCAAAAGCCCCAAGACCCCAAACCTCTGGTGGTACCACAGGCCTGTGACTCAGAGCACAGGGGGGAACCCCAACTTGATGCCAGCCCACGTGGTCTCTCCTGAGGCCACTGGTTGTCCCCCAACCCCGTCGCCGGGCAAGCGGTCATGGTTAACGTACTTGCGCATTTCAGAGTTATTTTCCGTATCAACTTTGACAGGTGACACGATCTTAAGGCTCAAAAGTGAAAAGCTGCAGAAAGGTACAAACTGAGCTCCCTCCTGACAGCAGATGCGAGCCCCGCGAGCCCACTTCCGACACCCCCAAAAGAAAGGTCGCTTGCTCCTCTGCCCTCCCTCTGGCGTCTCCTCCCGGAGGCTCCTGCCAACACACAATCGCCCTGAGGGCGCCGAGCGCCTTCCCCGGCGGCCAGACGGAAGTCACCACGGGGCGACGGGCGTCCTGAGCGCCCCCTGCACGTGGCGCCGGGCCAGCCCCCACGGGGCCCTCCGGGGCACTGCCAGGTGGGCGGGCGGGCACGCGTTCCTGCAGGCAAGGCCCGCCGGGCGGCTTCTGCGTCACGCAGGCTTCCCCTAGTCCTTTCCAAATAACGACCAGGGCTGGACGTCCTCGGAACACACACGCACCTCCAGGAGAGACCCGGGCTGTGGGAGCTGAAGCTCGGCCACCGGCCGACCTCACAGGGCGTCAGAGGCCCAACCGCGGGCGGGCGCGACGGGCCGACCGCCGCCCCCGCCTCCACGGCAGCCCACCGCCCCCGGAACTGGACCCGGGGCGCTGGCTAAGCCGTGGGTCCGCTCGCCCCGGGCGGGGAGCTGGGTGGGGCCGGGGCAGGGAAGGAGCACCCGCAGCTGCTCCTCCAGTAGAAGCCAAAAGCTCACGTCCAGGGCAGGGGCGGGCGGGCGGCCGGGAGCTCGGCTTCGAGGACGCAACAGCAGGCTCGGCTCGGCGGCCCCCTGCTGACGGCGGCCAGCGCCGGGCCGCGCACAGGCCGGAAGGGTGAGATGCGCTCGTGTGGAAATCCTGGACTCGGGGTTCTTTTGCCCACTGACGCTAGACTCACACGCTCAAAGGGCACCCGGGGCCAGCCCGGGGCGCTCGGCGAAGCCCTGGTCAGCCCCTCCAGGACCGGGGACATGGGCTCATCACGTCCCTCGCCTGAGGCAGCGCGGCGCAGGCACAGGCCTCAGGCGCGGCTGGCCAGAGCCCTCGCGGCAGGACCACCAGGCAGGCCTAGGGCACACGGTGCCCGCCTGGGGTTCCAGGAGGCAGGCGGGCGCGGACGGCGGGCGCCCTGCCGGCCGCCAGGCCCTCCTCCCCCTGCAGAGCCGCACCCTCAGCAGTGAGGGTCAGTGGGAGCCAAGAGCTGGGTCCCCGCTGTCCAGGCCGCCACAGAACAGCAGCCCTTCAAGCGGGAGATCTCCATAAAAGCGCAGACCAAAGGCTGCCCAGCCCACGCACGCAGCCCACGGAGGGCCCCTGCCCGCTGCCCCGCCCGCACTCACCACCTTCGTGTCCTGCTGGCTTTCCATTCAGCTGTGCCCATGACTTTGGTCCACCTGGCACTGAATTTGTATTCTGAAAGAAAGGAGAACAGGGCTTACCCGGCCTGCAGCTGTCATCTGGGCCCCCGGAGCAGACGGCCGGCCCACTGTGGGGCCAGGCTGGGGCCCGCGCCCGTCCGCGGCGGTCCCAGCCCCAGGCGCAACCTCGGGGCCACCCCTGCCTGCCCCCACAGGGCCGCTCAAAGCCACTCGGGGACAGAGCCAAGACACAACCCTCGCCCGCCCACAACCGTCCTCCGGAACATTCTATAGGTCGCCCCTCAGTGGCGGCAGAGCTACTTTAGCATCTTGCCCAAAGATGAAGATCAAACAACCCAGTTCTAACACGGCTCTCAAAAGCCACGCCACTGCCCACAAGCACCCACGCAGGAAAGTCACCCCACCCCCTTCCACAAGGCACAACTCCCAAGCCAAGGCCACCCCGTCCACTGACCCAGACACGCCCGGCTCAGCCTCAGTCCCCTGGGTCTGCACTAAGCTTCCCTGTGGGCCAGGCATGGGGCTGGGCACGCCTGCTGACCACAGCCTCCCACACCCGGGAGGCTCAGAAAGCAGGAACAAGTCCCCTGGGTCAGAGGCAAGGCAAGCCCCGCCCCCCCGCGCCCCAGGCAGACACCGAAGCCCCCCTGGGCTCCCAAGCGCCAGGTCACTGGCTTTGCTCCACGAGCTTCAAGCTGAAGGCCAAGATAAACCACAGCCCAGCAGTTTCCCCAACAACAGGCCGAGACGCCAGGTCCAGCAGACAGTGACCTTTTCCACCGCCCGCCCAGTCCACACTACACGCAGACACGCACGCTGACCATCTGTGGCCTTCAGTACGTTGCTGATCAGCTGCGACAACCACTTTTCTAGCAAGAATATGCCTGGGAACACCCTGGGGTCTCCCCCCGCAGCACGTGAAGCTCGGCCAGCCGTCCCACGGGGCAGGGCCCTCACCCACAGCCACGGACCCAAGGGAACGCAACAGGGCACCGAGCCACAGGCCCGCCCTCCTGAGTCGGGGCGCGCCACGCTGACGGCCAACCCAGCCAGGCAGGACCCCCCGGACCACACCAGCGCCAGCGCTGGGGTGCAGACCTAGGGTTTTGTTTCGGTTTATTTCAGAAACATTTTTAAGAAGCTTCAAAGGTGAGTCTGGTGTGCAGCCACGTTCTCGGCTTCAAGCTCTGGAAGACCGCCATGAAGGGACCCCCAGACTCCCGTCGGCAGGCCCCAGGAGACGCAGGCCAGGGACTCGGAGTCCCGGAGACGTGTGTGTCCTTTCTCCCTCACGTCAAAGACACAGTTCCATGTTGGCAAGGGACGTCTCCTGGCAAAGGCACAAACGTCTCCCATAGGTGGGCGACGGCACCTCGGACTTCACTGCCCAGGGAGGGCAATTTCAGTATGGCGCCTCAGGTGGCCTCCAGGAGTCTGTGCCAGAAAGCCCACGTGCTTGAGACGCAGACCCCTCCTCGGGGTCCCGAACCGCACCGCGGACGCGCTCCCGAGCACCGCACGCAGGCGGACCCCGTCAGAGCGACACGGCCTGAGCCATGCCGGGCTGGCACGGGGCACCAGCACCACAGCTCGGGGCCCTGCGGGCGCTCGCAGGTGCTCAGCCGACAGCATCTGAGGGGTGTGTGGAGACTCCACCCACGGCACCCTCCTCCTTTTTAGCATGACACCTCGGCGCCAGCGCGAAGCGCCAGACCCCAAGCACCGAATGTGCGTGGCGGGAGACCGTCCTGGGGCGCTGGTCAGCACGGCGCACGGCGAAGGGGAGCCCCGGCCCGGCCCGGGCACGGCCGAGCGACCGCACCGCGGGGCTGTCACAGGACGGCAGCGGGCCTGTGCCGGCGCCCGTGCCGAGGGACGGGCCGCAACCCCACCCCCGGAGCCGGCGCCGCCAGCAGGGAGAGACGGCACGGGGCTGGGCCCAGCACCCACCTCCTGGCTGGTCGACTGTGTCGGCTTCTGTAAACTGGAGACAGACTTCTGCAAACCCGGCTGCGGCAGCGACTCCGGCGGCTGTGAGGCCGTCGCACTGGAACTAGCAAGACAGGACACGTGGGAGGTTAGACCGACACGGGCCAGGCCCACACAGCCGGCTCGGGCCGCGGGCGGGGAGCAGCCCTGCTTGGGCCAGTGCAGAGCCCCCCCGGGGACCAGCGAAGGCTACAAGAAGCCGGCAGCTCTGGGTCTGCCCGCCGACTCCGCAGAGCACAGGCTGTCCTCGGGCTTCCGGCAGAGCCTCCTGTCTAAAACGCGGCAGGCTCGTGCCGACCCTGGCTGATGAGGACGGTCACCGCAGAGCAGGAGTCCTGACCCTTAGTACAAGAGCGCCAGCCTCAGGGGCCAACTGCTCGAATGGGCGTATTTCTTCCTCCTGCAAAGATGCTCGCAGTAAAAATAAATAAAAATATGCGTAAATACATAACACAAAATAACACAAAATCTGACAGCATCATCTCCTCTGGAGAGATTTCCATCACATCTCCATCTATACAACACTTTCCAAAGTAACCAGGCCTGAAGCCAGAGGCTGTTACAGGTGCTGCCCCCGCAGGGGAAAGGTGAGGAGGAGCCGCCCAGAAGTAGGTTCAGACTGAGACTCCCAGAGGAAACACAGAAGGCCGCGGGAGCAG